TCAAAATTTTGGCAGTTATTTATTTATTTTTAATGTTCAAAGTTTCCGTCTACTCTGTGGTACATCTAAAAATTTCATAAAATGATAGTGTACTTTGTGGAGTGGGAGAAGCAAGATTAGTGCCAAAAGAATAATGCCTTTCTGTAGAGAATTCATAAACATGACATTTTCTACCATTTCCTTCATTTTATACTATAAGTTTGAGCTCATATTCAATACTTCAGTTTCCTGAAAAGGTGATTTACAAATATCATAATTTTTAAAATAAACTGTATTGGATGTTTTGAGGCTGTTTGTAATCTGGGCCCCCTTATATTCAGCCCTTTTGACTATGATAGGAGTTTCTAACTCAGTTTCTCCTCCCAAACACAACATGCCATAAATATGCCCTTCATTGTCATTTGAACTAAGTAATATCAACTTGGAGATGAGTTTGGTCGAAGCTATTCCTAGATTTCCATTAGGTAAATAAAGTTGATTTCCTGTATCTTAACCTCATAGCAGCGATCAGTCCTATTGTCAGTTTGCTGCCTAACCTCTTGCCAGGGCAAGGTACTGCTCAGGGGAATCAGCTCAGCTCCACCCACAGTCCCATAGGAGAAGTCCTGACAGGGATAACTTTGATCCTAGAGATCCAATTAGTTAGGGAGCCAAACTCCAGTGTCTGGGAAGATATTTCCAAGACAGAAAAAAATTTTCTCTCCTTTTATGATTCTTTGAGTCTCTTGGTACTAAGAACCTAGTCTAACCAGGAACATTGATTTCTCCTTGAGTTTCCTTAGGTGAGGCAGCTGGAACTGGACTCCTCAGGCCAGAGAAAGCCCACTGCAAGCAGCTTGGTTGAGCTGCCTCATCCACAGATGGTGGAGCAAATGCTTTCTCTCTGGCTCTGACCCGGGTCTCTGTCCTTTGATTCCAGTGAGTATAATTTCTGAACTTTAGGACAGGGTTTCTGAGCTAAACTAAGTGCAATTTAACAGGTTCTTTCCACTAATAAAATGACACTTTTGGGGGAGGCGGTGTCTCTCTTTGGCATGCCCTTTAGAGATCTCCTGTGGTGGTCGAGTGGCTGCCCCATCCCGGGAACACAGTTGTGAGAGGAATAGCCACCCAATCTCACTTAGACAAAAATGGAACTTGATATTTTTCTGATAGCTTATTAAGAATAGTCCTCTTGAGTGTATTTTCACCATAATTTTAATATATGTTTTTATTTATTTATGTAACTGTGATAATAATTTTGAAGACGGGATACAAGCTAAAATAGAGTTATAAGCAAATATTTGCCAGAAATTTCTAATTGAAGAAGAGATGCACTATTCCCTATATTTGCTAATTTTACCAGCCCTTAGCCTAAACTGACCTTCTTTGTAAAAATATTTATGGCTTCCCCACCCTGGGTGGTCTCCCCATTCTCTGCACATATATAATAATCTTAAGGCCAATTCATTCAGGTAAGTGTATGTGTCTTGTGACATTTTCTCAGTTATGTATTAACTGTTATCTGTTTTGAAATTATCATTTTCCTTGTGTTTTAGTTCACATCTATACCCTCACATAGAAAAGGAAAACATGCCTCTATTTAAAATGAACAGAAATATAAAACATGAGAGCTGGATAAAGTATAAATTTTCTAGTCTTTAGGTCCTTCTCATTTCCCCAGTCATAAAGCAATTGGTGGGAGACCAGGTCTCTGGTTCTTTTCAATTTACATTGACTTCCCAGGAAATGGTTTTATTGTGTTACCCTACTGGGACAGGCGGTTAGTAAATGAATTTAAAGAAGAAAGTTTTCCTCACAAAGGACTTTAACAAGATTTGCTGACTACTCTATGAGTAATAGATTCAAGAAGGTCAACAAAACATTTTTTATTGCGTACTTTATAGTATTTTATTTCACCAATTATTTGGCCTCCGTGTGGTAACCTTTCAAAACCTCTTTAGAGCAATTTCTTAAAACCACATATTGAATTTAGATATAATAGAATCTCACAAAGCTCTGTTTTATTTCTTTTATGGTGAAATCCAAGATATTCTCTGATTAGCATGGTTTTCTAAAGCATAACCCAAAGAAAGGTTAAAGAGTATTTGACATTGCAATATGGCTTATTCTTCTATTTCCAGTCATTTATCAAAAAGTATTTTCAACTTGAATTATAATATACATATAAACGTATATTTGACTTTGTGAGCATATGCACAGATGAGTCTGAAAGTATACTCTGTTTTTTAAGAATTTTGGTTTATATTGAAATTTTTGCTTACTCTATTCTAATTGATCATTGTCATCCAATTGGCAAATATTCACTAAAAGAACATATTACATATTATTAATTGAATCAGAATCTAAAGATATTTTGCTGAGCAAAAAACATGTACCTTGTCTTCATTCTAGTGAGGAAGCAAGACATTAATGGAGAAATTATACCAATATATAAATTCTAACTGTAATCAGTTCTATAAATCAAAATGCATTAGTAACTATGAAACCTTACAGCTGTTTATACCTCTCTAGTGGGGGAGGAAGGGGAAGGTGTCGGCAGAGTCCTGATGAGCTAACCTTTGAAAGAGAGGAAATAGTATGTGAAAATGTCTTTTGGTAAGAGAACATATAAATTTCTGGAGAAACTAAAAAATAGCTAGTCTAGCAGAGAAATAAAAAGCAAAAGATAGAGTGGTCTAAGAGGAGGCAGGAGAGTTTAACAGGGGCCAGATTATATAACATGTTAAAGATCATATTAAGGATGCCAAAGTTCATCATAAAATAATTGTCACTAAAAAATTCACATTGAGAAGAAAACACATTAGAACATTTTGAAAAGATTATGGCAAATACATTACACAGATTACATTGACAGGTAACTAAGAATAGATATGGAAAACCCAATTTAAAAATGCCTGCAATTGTTGAAAGGTGATGGAGTCCTAGACTAGGGTAGCTCCAGAGAAAGGTAAAGACATAATAAGCTAGAAATGACAGACAAGAATAATATTTCAAGGGTGCTTCTGATTTCTGGCTTGAGACACAGTCATATGATGGGGCTACATTCTAAAATATGGAACACAGGAAAATAATCATTTGACCATGGAGATTCCTTAGAAACACAAGTGGAGAAGAAAGGAAGTGTTTATAAGTCTTAGATCTCAGAAGAGAGAACTGAGATAGATATAGAACTGGAGTCATCATTGTGTGCCTAAAAAAAAGGAACCAAAGACCAAGATTGGAGGTATGTTAATTCTCCAAAGTTGGGTAAAGGAGGATGGTTACTCAATCTTGTCTAGTGTTTACAAAAAATATTTCTCAAATCGGTCTTCATCACTCTCACTGTGGCTACTCTTGTTCACAATGTTATTACCTCTACCGAGATAATGCCAATGTCTCCTAACAAACATTTCTATGTTAGGAATGACACATTATATCCCATCCTTCATGTGGTAAACATTAGCATTTCTGCTTACAGAGTCCTTCCACATTCCCTAACTTCTAAAGAATAAGACCAGTCTCCAAGTTCAGCATGCAAAACCATTTCTTCACCATCTGAGACCTGCATATGTGTCAGCATTTATTTCTTATTACCAAATCTGTTTAAATTTCTGGAGTACAGGGAGGCAGCTTGTTGGGAGGGTGGAGGGATTGAGCATAAAAGAGAAAGAACTCATGGACAGAGACAAAAGTGTGGTGATTGGAGGGGGGATGGAGTGGAGATGGAAGAGGGTAAGAGGGGATAAATGGCAATGAGAAAAAAATAAAAAAAGAAGAAAAGTGAATTAGCACAGTGCCTACTCTCATGTAGCTTATAGCTTAACAGTGGTTGGCAAACTGCGGCTCGTGAGCCACATGTGGCTCTTTGGCCCCTTGAGTGTGGTGACGAAGTTTCAATCGCACTGTACGTACGCACCTGCTCATGGTATTTTGTGGAAGAGCCACACTCAAGGGGCCGCAGTTTGCCGACCACTGGCTTAGGAGTCCTAGGTCCTGGTAGATTCTCAGTAAAGGTATATTGAACGAATGTCTGATTCTATAGGTACCTCTCAAAAAGCATGCAGTTGAAAACACTATTCTTAATTTCTCAGGCACTATTATCTGTCAATTGAGTATGAGGGAAATGGGAGTTTTCCAACTCCCCTTTATCACAGGAAAACAACCTAAACCACACAGCGTCATAAATCCATTAAATATACTTTATTATTTTATTGTGAAGAATTCTGTAATGTAGATAAGGTAGCATTACCAGAAAAATGCTTTTTTTCAGCATCTCTATTGAGTATTGAATTCTCAATCTTTTTTAGTTAAACTGGAGCCAATAGAGTATCAAAGTTATAAAACCAAACCACCATAGAGGAAAAGAGCCTCCTTCATTTCCAGTGCTAAATGGGAAGGCTTTAAAAAATGGCAACTGTGGGCAAAGGCATGTGTGTTCTTCCTCTATAAAGGAAACAAAACCACGAGGGTCATTTTCTCATCAAAAACATTATTTTAAAAATGTATTAATGTCTTTGTAAGTGAAATGTAGCCAGGTGAAAATTTGGTTGCAAATACAGATAAAATTTACTTTAAAAAGACGCCTCTTCAGAGTTGATCAAAGTTAAATCAAATGTAGATAAAAGTCAGTTATGATGGAGTTCCAGATTTCTATTACAGAATTCATTCCCAGCTGTCTCAAACTGTTTTATGATTGCTGTTTCTGTTGATATCATTGACATTCTGTTTCATATTTTATCTTCACTTTGAGTTAAGAAACAATACCTGAATTTCTTTTAAGCTGTTTAACTTCCTACTTATCAACTCAAGACTGAGGACAGCTGGCAGTTTCAGTAAAAAATAACACACAAACAAACAAACAAACAAAAAACAGCATAGTCTAACTGACTTCTTTTGTCTTAACCAATTGAGATGAATTCATCAGTCTGTCAGAATATGCATTTTTAAAACAAATACCAGTATTTGCATAAAGTTAAGAAAGTAGTTTATTACCTGAGAGTGTTTGCCCACAGGTACCTTTACATTTTAAATATCTCCACTTCCATCCTCTTCTCCTTCAACCACACCTAGTTCCTCATTTCTAAACAAAGGCCTAAATCTTTGAGAAAATAGAGGCTGTCTTTTGTTCAGAGGTTCTGTTATTTTAACCTGTTCTTTAACTGCATATCCTACTAATTCCAAGACTGGGTGACTTGACTCGGCCTCCAACCCTTGACTAATTTCTGAACCAATTTTGTGCCTGGTCCTTCAATCTTTGCATGATTGGTGGCTAGAGACATTGACATCTAATCAAACTTTACCTGCGGTATTTAAATTACAGAGCTAGAACAAGAATTGTAGTTTTTCATCAACATTTGATCAAATATTTTTATTTACAATTATAATACTAAAATTATGAGAATATTATGCATGCAACATGAAGAAAATATATGATAGCTTCAAAGAGGACGTTTCAAAGTCAAGCTACATCTTTAATTCTCCTTTCTTAAACCAACCTCTTTCATAAAATTACAGAAATGTTTCAATTTCCTATGAAAATCACTGATTTAGACTATTGCTACTGTTATTGGGAAAAGCGTATTAGATACATGGGATGTTTTATATGCACATGTAATCAGAACTCAGAAATATCTCACTAGTGAAGCATTATAAACATGGATATAAAATGAATTAATTTATTGACATTTTGTGTGTTAAGCCAACAAATTAATTTCATGGAGCTAATAATATTTGTGATTTACCCCAGAGTTTTGCATAAACACAAATTCATTACTTTTTTATCTTTAAAATATATATTAATTTAAAATACTTTAACTGAATTTACTTATATTGATGAAGCATAAATTTGAATTAATAGTATACATTTGAATACTGTTAATTTCTTAACATAAACTATATTAATTATTTTTAAATCCAGAGGACAAAAATAACTTAGCATTAAACTTCACAATGATGTTGCAGTAAACTTAAATTTATATAATTATAAATTATGTTTATGGAAAAATATAATCAAATAGAATTTATAACATTTTTTTCTAATACTATAATACTCTACAATAAAAAAAGACTTGATTGGGTATCTAAAAATGTATAAATGTTATCCAAAGTGAGGAACACAATAGTCAACTGTCCAAATAAAAATTAATCAGAAATATAATTTACACACTTGATTTTACAAACTTAAATAAAAATGTTTCTTCAAATATATAGGTTTACATTCTCAGAAATTTTATATGAACAACGATAACCAGCCAACAGCCATGTTAATTACATCATATTGGGTTAATATCATGTTCTCAAGCGAGAGTGATGTTAAAAAACCAAATAATGTGAAGTCAGATCTTCAAAGACAAGCAATTATGGAGCTATTCAAATTATAGAGAATGTGCAATGTCTATATGAAATTGAAGTGGGTGTCTCTTTCCAAATGTCTGTTAATGCTAATAAGCAAAGAAGCAGAGAGTACTGGAGTTCCACTAATCAGGGGTGGTCAATGGTGGGTCAAAAAACTAAGTGATGGAGGCAAATTGTATACCCTTAGTAATAAGTAGATTATTATGTATGATTTTATCTTAATTGGTTTTGAGAATTAATTGGGTGGTAACAAAAGCTGGCATACATAAAGCTTTTCATTTGAATAGAACAATGAAAAACACGAAAGGCTTGGAGTTGATGATAACCACTCTCCTGAATTAACTCCTAGCTATAGAATCAAGAGATTTATCGTTTACCTGAAAATTTAGTTAATGTTAATGACTAATGCCTATTACCTAGCTGGGTACATTTCTACTTTTCAAAGCATATTTCTTTGGTAAAGGCCAAGTTAATATAAAACCGATATAATAGTGACTTCCATGAGTACATTTTTCTCATTTACATCAAATTTGTAAAATATATAATGAAAGTAACAGGATATAGTATTTATTACCTTATACTCCAGGAACTTAACTTTCTTTTTTGGGGGTGGGGCCCTCTGTAATATATGCCATGCTAAGAATAATAAGAAATAAGAATGATCACTTCTACATTTACTTGTCTTATTAAGGTTGAAATTATTTTTCCAAAGTTTAATTTTTGAAAAATTTCAAATTATCTTTTAATGTAGTAGTTAAAACAGAAATGTGAATTCTAGCCTTCATATTTGTGATAGAAAAAATATTTGGGGATGATCAAATTTGTCAGCAATGGAGGCATAGCAGTCATTCTCAGTCATGTTAACATTAACCACTGATAATTTATTTCGAGTCCTAAAGGATAAGGAAATATTTATGGCTGTAGAATAATATTCAGTCACAATTGACATACATATATTTGCAGTACCGATGCCATGATATGTTTTTCTATAGTTACGCTTAATTGATTAATATTCAACAGAAACCATTAACGCCTTTCTCAGCTCTTACCAATTAAATTCTTATCAGATATTACAAACTCACTTTGCCACATTTTATATTTTAAGTAGTTAAAAGAAGTGGCATTATTTTTTGTATGTCATCAGATTGTTAAGCAGCTTACTTAGAAAAAAGCATCAACTGTTTTGGGTACTTACTTAAATGCAAGGATTAATCACGACTTTATTTTGTTTTAATATACACTAAAGATTCTATTTCCTATCAAGATATGGAATAAAAAAACCGATATTTTAAACTGAAAATATTTGCTTTAAATTGGGTGTAGATCATCATCCCCCTTTAAAATAAGTTTTCAAAAATTTGTTTTACATATGATTAATCTTTCTTAATTATATTTGTAATGAATTAATTATTCAGGTAAGTAAATTTTATTTTACACTCACCCTAACAAAATATTGGGACCTAATGGAAATTTAGAGTCTACCTAAGCAGATGGAAATAATAAATAAAGCAAGAGAATGAGAGAACTGAATGAAAAAGCAGGAATATATTACCTCAACAAGAAATGCTGAGTTTTGTCTTTTGAAACCTGTTCCAAATTGGTGAGCTTATTCATTCACCAGGAGTGTTTGTTTCCACATTTTCATAGCTGTTCAGCAGTCTTTGACAAGTTCTTTGTGGCTAAGAAAATTTAAAACTGCTTTAAAATTCTTTGAGCAACTTACAGATAGCATCAAAATATACCGCTATAGTATCAAGAAATGTTGAAGAAATATACCTTTAAAGTTGTGCCAAGAAACCTAGTGAGCATCTTCCCTCCTTGATGATAAAGCAGACTTCTATACTGCCTGCCTTTGGGCTAGGCAATTCCACAGATATTTCTCATACAACTGCTTACTACAAAAGTTTTAGACCAGAAAAGTCTTACTTTTCTCACCCTGGGGAAGTAACATGGTGTAAGCAGAAAAAATAGTTGCAGAAACAGAACTTTCTCTGCCATTAACCCACAAATCATGGAAACTCTTCAGCATTTGGTCATTATATCCAGAAAATAATGAAAGTACATTGTGGGATCTATGGCATCCCATTTAGCACTCAGAATATGAGTCTGCTACCTTTCCAGTCAATTAAATGTCCAGTTCTTATAAGGTGTGTGACCTAAATGTAGCTCTGTCACACCACAGAGCCTTGCTCTAAAATGCATAGTCTGTTAAAAGAACGAGCTGTGGGATGGCTGAGAAGTATGAAAGGAAGGTTTATATCCGTTGCCTCTTGACTTCTTGGATTGCCCAGGAACGTCGCATAAAGCACCCTCTCTATAGATCAAATCCTATTCCACTGTCCCTCCTGTCAATGAATGAAACCACCATCAAGAAACTTTGAAAGCCAAAAATGTCTCCTTCAATTCCTAAATTTAATTCATCACCAATTCTTGTCTATTTTGGCTCCTAAATTCATGCAACTCTGTCCATTTTTCTCATCTGCATCTATTATAACCTTTTTCTTGGTTCTACAATAGCATTTTTTTTCATATATTTTACAGAGAGGAAGGGAGAGAGATAGAGAGTTAGAAACATCGATGAGAGAGAAACATCAATCAGCTGCCTCCTGCACATCTCCTACTGGAGATGTGCCCGCAACCCAGGTACACGCCCTTGACCGGGATCGAACCTGGGACCTTTTAGTCCGCAAGCCTACGCTCAATCCACTGAGCCAAACCAGTTTCGGCTACAATAGCATTTTGTAGTGGCCTACTTAAATACAATCTGATTTTTCCCCCCAGGCAAACTAGTCCCCATTTTATGGCCATCAAGTTCTTCTCAAAATGGTTCTTCTGATCACATCACTCCATACTGCAATGTTGAAGAAAATCCTTCTGTGGCTTCCTGTCACTCCTGGAATAAAGCTAATTTCCAACACTGCGATACAGTAGAACTTTCTGCAATAATAGAAATGTTTTCTGAACTTTCCAATACAGTAACTACTAGCCACAGTGGCAATTGAGCACCTGAAATGTGGCTAGTTCAACTGAGGAAATAAATTCTTTATTTAATTTCAATCACTTTATATCCATACTAGAGGCCCACTGCACAAGATTCGTTCATGGGGGTGGGGTCCCTCAGCTTGGCCTGCATCCTTTCCAATCTGGGACCCCTCGAGGAATGTCTGACTGCCGGTTTAGGCCTAACCCCTGTGGGGTCGGACCTAAACCGGCAGTTGGACATGCCTCTCACAATCCAGGACTGCTGGTTCCTAACCGCTCACCTGCCTGCCTGCCTGATCGCCCCTACTGCTCCCCTGTTGTCCTGATTGCCCCTAACTGCCTCTGCCTCTGCCCCACACCCAGGATCCAGGATTCCCTCCTCTGGCCGCAAGCACCCAAAACCCAGGCCGGCTTTGCCTGGGCTGGCCATAGCTGCAGGCACCTGGGACAGCGGGGTGGGCGGCTTGTCCCTCTCCCAGGCCACAGCCACAGGCACTAGCACCTGGAACCGGGGGTTGGGCAGCTTGTCCCAGGCCCAGCTTTGTCAAGAAGGACATCCAGAAAGTCATCCGGAAGACGTCTGGTCTAATTAGCATATTACCCTTTTATTAGTATAGATTTAAACAATCACATTAGTTAGTGGCAACCATGTTGGGTAGTATAACTCAAAAATGTGGCCGTGGCATTGTTTGGTCTCTACCTACTCTCTAGCCTCTTTCTGTACTAAGCTCTCTACTCTGCTCCCTGCTGTCTCAAGAAACCTTTGCACATATCATGCCCCCCGGTGGGTAAACTTTTTCTCTTAGTTAACACTAACTCACCCTTCAGGAGATTCATGAAGGAAGATTGTTTCATTAGGGACACCTTCCCTAATCACCTGATGAGGTCAATTTTAAATGGTTCTATAAGCACTCTTATCTCTTCTTCACTGTCCTTGCCATAGTCGCAGTCTTACATTTATGTATGGGGTTATTTGATAAAACTAGACTCTAAGATCGACAAGGGCATGAGTTATTGTTGCCTAGCAATTACTCTAGTGCCTAGTATATAATCAGTACTCCATAAATATTAATTGCACTAAGGTGTGATTCTATAACTTTTATTGTTCTGCCACCCCATAGCTTTGATTTGATTTGAGGGACTTTTTCCTTGTAATATGTTGGGCAAATCTCTGTATAAATATTAAGCATGCAAATACCAACTAAAGAAAGCTTAACCGATTGCCAACCTCTTGGCAAACTACCAAGGGGATGGAACTTGAGAGCCTCCTGGGTATATATTGATACAGAAGTCATTCACTAACATCTGAGCCACCGCTCCAACAAACAGTGATTATTAGTATCAAATTTGCCAGTAACAGCTTAAGCTACATTCAGGCTGACACATTACTGAAGGAAACTTTCACAACTTCTACCAGCAGCCTGAGCAGCACCAACGCCTCTGCTTTTTATGTCTTAATTTAATCCCTTTGAAGTCATCTGTTCCTGTAAGCGGCATTTCAATCTCCTTGTGTACACCTGGTCGTCCTCCTTTCACATTTGTTATCAGCATACTCTTGCACAGCTTAATGCCTTCAAAGAACCATGCATAGTTTCACTGTAACGTAAGTTCTTAAGCTCCTTTTCAAGGATCTATAGGTTTTCATCTTTTTTCTCCATAGTGACAGGTTCAATCCTAATTCCATGAATACATATTGCGGTTTTGAGAGGACAGTTTAGAGGGCAATCTGTGCATTCATCCAGTTTGCCTCCCACCTCGATGACAAAGAAGCCGTCCCTCTGAATTCACTGAAGGGCATGCAATACAGACTATTGTGCTCTGCATCTAGATGACTGTCCACGCACAGGGTTCAGTAATCCACTCATTGGAATGCCATAAAGCACTACAGACTTTCCAATAAACTTTGCAGCCAATCTCTGTAGTCAAATAACATTATGCAAAAGTATGTTGAGAACATTCACCTTTGGCCTCTCTCAATATAATATGGGAGGTGGATGCATCATGGTATGGGTCCAAGTATGTCTTTCAAAGTCATGACATACTGAGTTGCAAATATTAGTTATGCCACTACCTAACATTCTGAATGTTATCACATCCATTATAATATGAAAATAATAATGACATGTATTCCACATTTACCAATATTAAATAAGCTAATGTAGTTCAAGTCTCTTATTATAGTACCTTTGGGAAATGTGAAATATTTTCCCTGCTATTTCCTCTTACTATTAACATTTGTCAATGATTTCCCTCCAGGAATTCTGAGGCTATCTACATAGGCTCAGGCATCATCCCCAGCCAAAAGCAATGATGACTTAGTCTGTTAGCATCTTCAGCCCACCAGCTGTTATTATCTAGCATTATTTTTGTTGACTAAATCCAAGTACTAAAGTTAACCATGTAGTCTTCAAGGTCCTTATGTCAGGTTAACTCTAACTATCCTACACTACTTTGACTATCACTAGTCTTATTTTGAATGTATAGGTTGCCTAGAACATATTCCTGCCCTCTGTTGAATTTCAAGTCTTGGGTATCCTTTTGACTTCTTCCACCACATTACATCTTGGGGGATAACAATGCCAGCCGAACCACAGTTAAATTTGCACTATCAGTAGTTTTCAACCTTCTGGCCCTTTAAATACAGTTCCTCATTTTGTGACCCAACCATAAAATTATTTTCGTTGCTACTTCATAACTGTAATGTTGCTACTGTTATGAATCATACTGTAAATATCTGATATGCAGGATGGTCTTAGGCGACCCTGTGAAAGGGTCATTCGACCGCCAAAGGGGTCGCGACCCACAGGTTGAGAACCGCTGCTAGATTGTCTGGCTGCCATTGCCAAGACCAGCTGTTGTGCCCAGATTTCAAGGTTCCCAAGAGCCCACCAGGGAGCCAGCGAGTCCGATGCAAAAGCAAAGAGTCATTTATTTCAAACCTAGGTTTGGCTCCCCTGCCACACTCACCGATGCAACGGCAAGCCCCGGTGGCCGAGAGAGAGCGAGGCCTGACGGGACAGGGGGGTATATAGGGGGGAGGAGTGAGGGCAGGAGAGGGGGCTGTGGGCCCCGCTGATTGGCCAGGCGCGAGTCGGTACAGGATGTGGTCATAGTGATGGCGTGCACTTCCCTTGATTATTATTGGTTAGTCCAGAGAAATCCGGGGTGTGGCTAGCAGCGGCTTCT